GAAGGCCCGCGGCGCTCGGGGCCCAGACTCACAGGGTAGGTGGCAGGCCGCTCCACAGAGACTTAATGCCCTCATGGCGCGTGATCTTCACAAAGGCATCCTGAAAGGAAGAGGGGAGCCCCGGGGGTTAGAGAAAGAGGGAAGGGCTTTCCCAGTCGCTGGCCCAAAAGGGAGGCAAGACACCCACGGGAGAGCCCAGGCATGGGCGGTGGCTGCTTCCCTCCTCCCTCCCAGCTGTGCTGCCGATACCAGACAGCACCGGCTCCGAGCCTGGGCACCCCGGTGGCTGTGGCTACACCCCGAAGTCCAGTCCAGCCTTGCCCGTCACAGGGTGCGTGGGGCCGGGCGGTGGGAGCACAGCTGACTGGTTACCGGCTGCCCCGGTGGGCCTACGGGACGGCACCTGGACCTTCTAGAGAGGGAGACAGCAGCAGGGTCCCAGGGTGCGCTCTCAACCCCGGCAGGTACGGGTGCTGCTGGGGGAAGCCGTGACGGGGCTGCAGAGAATAGGGGACTCTGGGTAAGCAGGGGGGAAGGAGGCTGAGCTCTGGCTAGGAGAGGAGAAGGGCTCCAGGACAGGCTCGACCGAGCCGGAGCTTGGGTCATGGTGAGGGGCTTTGTTTGGGGCCTCGGAGGATCAGTTTGAACCCCATAAATGGTTGAACCAGGCGCAGTCAGAGGTGGCATTAGCGCCGCGTGGAACTTACTAAGTAGCCCTGAGATAAGGGGAAACCGAGTCAGGTTCCTGCAGCACCACACCGGGCCAGCAGGGGCGCTACCGGCGTGACTTCTTACAGGTCCCAGACTTCTCCCTTCTCCCCTCCCCCACCCTCCAGGGTCCCAGACCAGGCCTGACACTGCACGGGCTCGGGCTGCCGGAGCACGCCGGCCGCTCCCCGGCAGGAGAAGAGTCTCACCAGGGTGCCGGTGAACCGGGTGGGGGCTTTGTACCAGGCGGTGCAGCTGTTCCCGTTCTGGCACACGTACAGATGGTCCATCAGCCCATTGCAATACAAGAAGCATTTCCCTGCGAGGAGGAGATGGGGGGGGTTAAACTCTCACCCAACCCAGCCCCCTTCCCTCCTCGCGCCCCAGCCCCCACCCTGCTCCAGGCTCTGCCCTATCCTGCAAGGGCCCTCAACAGGGCTGGACCCTTCTGGGCCCTGCCAGCTCCTTTCCAGCCCCCTGCGCCCCACTGCACTGTGCCCTGCTCTCCCGGGCTGCTGGGCAGGCAGGGGAGGCAGCCAGGACGAGGCCTATCGCAGGCCGCTGATACCCCAGGCCTGGGACACAGGCACTTTTGCGGGAGCAGGCAGGGACTTGCCCCAATCCGGTCGTGCAGAATAAAGGCCCCCGAGCTGACACGCAGCGAGGCAGAAAGGGCGCGTCCTGGGAAACTGTCCGACTTCATCAGGCTCCCCTCATCCCTGCGAACGCTTGCCCTACGCCCGTCCTGCCAGCCTGGGCTGGCGGCCCGGGCTGGCAGCAGCCCACCTCCCTTCACCAGTTGGGTCAGCCCTGTCACCGCCGGGGGATCGGACGAGGCTGCCCGGTGTTGGCCTGGCTCCCTTCCCCCGCTGTCCATCCTCCCGCCCAGGATCCCAGCCGGAGCTCCCATTCATATCCCTGTCGCTGAAGCAGCCCCAGCGCGAGCGTCATGGGAGCGCAGCGGGAGAAAGGCAGCAGCGGGCACGAGCGCCAGATGCCAGGAGGGCAGAGGAAAGGCAGGGTGGAGACAAGGTCCCGGATTCGCGAGTGCCACCCCCCCGCCAACTCCTATCCCCAGATGGCAGCTCTACCGGCATCCGCCTCCCCTGCAGGCCAGTCTGCTCTCCTGACACAGGGCCCGGAGTGCAGGCGGCAGGGATCGAGCAGGCGGCAGGGCAGGCAGAGGGGAGGACAGACAAGAGACGCACAGAATGAGGACAAAGATGCCCATGTGCAGGGGAACTGGCTAGTGTTTAACCCCCCCGCCCGGGCCAGCACAGTGCTAGTTACCCAGCGGGGAGGAAGGGAAGGGGAACTGCCCCCTGCACTCCCTTTGGGGAAGGGTACGCAAGTGGCAGCAGAGGCTGGATACACGGAAGGGGACCCCTCCCATTGCAGGTGTCCCTGCCCCACGTAGCTATGCCTGGAGGGAGGGGGGCTAAAGAATGAGCCATGGGGTGAGAAAGGGGAAGAGACCATCAGCCCTGCATTAAGGGTGGAGGGGAGTAAAATCCAGAGACCCCTCATGCAGCCACAACTCAACAAGCCCAGAAGTCCTAGCCTGTCTCCAGGGAGGGGAGAACCATACCCAGGCCCGACCTGGCTGATGACAAAGAGCCTGTGGGGTCAGTCTCGCACCCGCCTCCACACTCAGGGATGATGGGACTTACCCAAGGCCATGCAGTGAGGCAGTGGCAGGACTGGGAACAGAACCTAGCGTTGCAGCTCCCAGACCCCCTGCTCTGACAGCCTGACAGCACCTGGCCCCTGGATAACTCCGAACTTGAGACTCCCTTGAAGTAGGGATGGAAGGAAGATGATGTGGTATGAGCAAGGGGGCAGTGCACCCAGCACAGCCCTGCTCCAGAGACTACAGCCATGGGGAACAGGTTCTCCCAGGGGGATTGGCACTGTCCAGGCTCAGCAGCCATGGGACTTAGCAGGAAGGGGGCAAAAGGACAGGACCCAGAAATACTCACATTTGGACTGGTGAACGCTCCAGGGCACACACTCTACTGACAACACTGAAACACACAACAGGGACACATTTAGCGACAGGCAGAGAGGTGCCGGGGGGACACTAGCAGTGCCGACTGTAACCCCCTTTTTCCTCGCTGGGTTACTCAGGAGCAGACTATGCTCACCCTGTGTGCCTGGGCGCCTGATGTTTTTAACATAAAAGGAGATCCTGAGGACCCCAATGGTCATGTTGTTTAGTTGGGGTTTCCTTATCCACCCCCTTGCTGCAGTCTCTTGCTCCTAAAGAATATACAATGGTAGGGCCTCCATCTGACTGGCCCTGTGCACACTTATGGTGTGATTTGGGAGCCTCCAGGAATTAAATTATTCCAGTAATAATCTAGAACTAACTCCAACACAACAATTATAAATAAAACTCCAAGACCACAATTATAAATAACATGCATCTCACTGATTACATTAGAATGAACACGCCTTTACTTCACAACTTAAAGAAACAGGGTTGAACAGATTAAAAGTGAATAAAATCAGTTCAAGTAGACAGAAAGAAAGGAAACTTAGCTATCACTGCCACCATTTATCCCCTCCCAGAGCGGGCACTCCTCTGGAGGCAGAGTCCCAGACACTTGCTGGCAGGGGCACGCTTGCAGGTCTGCAGCTGGAGTGGAGACTCCCTGGGCAGGTTCTGTGTTAGTCCAAGCTGAGCAGCCAGCTGCAAATTCCCTCTGCCACTGGAGCAAGCCCCACCAAATGCCAGCAGCTCTGGTTCACTGGCCTGGTCACTCGGGCTCCCTTTGGACCCGGAGTCAGCCTGTCTTCTGTGCTCCTGCCATGCAGCAGTTTCCCCAAATAGCCACAGTTACTCTCAGTGTCTTCCATGCAGGGTTACATAGGCCCTTCTCAGCCACAGTCTCTCCCCTCTAGGGACAATCAACAGCCCCTCAAGCAGCCTCCTACATCCAAGCCCTGGCAGGCTCTAGCTGCAATCAACAGCTCCTAGCCTGGAAAAGGCTCCCCACCAGCCGCCTGGCTGCTCCCTCCAAAATAGAGCTCATCAACTCTCTGCCTGCATAGCCTGGAAGAGCCACTGCTCCCTCCTTTTTCCCAAGGGCTCATGGGAGTTGTAGTCTCTAGGGCTAGATTGCCACACAAAGGATCCTCCCAGTAAAAGTTAGAGGCTCCTCTAGTAAGAGGACTACACTAGTCTGGGAAGGCCTAGAGCCCCATGTCCTGCGGGCAGCAGAAAGCCGGGGGCTGTTCTGGGGGCAGCTGATGGAGGCTGCAAGCGGGCTGAGACCCGGGGATGCTCTGCCCCCCACAATAACACAAGTCCCTTCCACCTGCCCACAACAGCCAAGCAGCGGCAGGAACATTAGCAGCATGTCACCCGAATGGAGCGCCCCACGGGTTCCAAGGGACCCTGTTCCCCACGAATAGCCCCTTGCCTCTTCCCTGTGAGACTCCCCAGGAGTCTCACACGGCTCCCAACGTTCACAGACTGGGGCAGACGCACAGGGAAGGGCCACGACTCCCAGAGGGAGGCCGTAAGAACAGAACCCACGGTCCTTCGCACCGATCCTTACAGAAATTCCCCCGATGATCACACTAGCCCGGGGCAGTCACTGCTGGTGTCCCAGGCCTGGCTCGCTTTGTGAGAGAACCTGGACTCTCACGCAGCCTGGGAGCTACTTAAATTCCCGCTGAGGCTTGAAGGGCCTGCCTGCTCCTGGACCCTCAGTCAGACGTGGCTAGCTCAGGGCAGGGGTCAACTCAGGCCAAGGCCTGGGACAGGTGCCCTCCTGTCAAGCAGCACCAGACCCTGGAAGGAAGGGCAGAGCCAGGAGGAGGGAGCCCGATTTTCCAGAGAGGCCTACGGATGACGAGCAGTCGCTGGCTCTGTGGGGATGCCAGAGCCCTTTCCCCGTGCCCGGCACCGCACGAACCCACCCACGTCAGGGCCATACTGGACCCCCGAGCTCAGACCCACTGGCTCCCAGGGCCTGCGGACACCTATGCCCATCGACCCCTCTCCTCTAGGGCCACGCAGCCCAGAGGCAGGAGGCTCTGAGGGTGGCCCAACACTGGGGCGCTGCTTGCGGCAATGCCGATCCCGCTCCAACCAGCCCCATGGGTTCGGTGGAGGGGGGCAGACCGGGGAGGGTCTCCTGTGCAGGACCTGGGAAAGAAGCTCCCAGATGGGGGACAGGGCGAGGCTGACCCATTTCCCCATCAGGGTCCTGCTGCTTGAGGGGCGCCAGGCCCCGGTGACCATGGCAACCCCTCCTCACTGCTCTGCTGCCCACAGCCTGTCCCTGCCCGGACCGAGTAGCCAAATAGCCCGAGACCACAGGACCCGACCAGCCCTCCCCTAAGCAGCCAGCGGCTCCTCCCCGCGACTCCCCTTGGGGCCTGCATGGCACAGCCGCTCAGGAGACAGGGATTCACACACACCCCGCCAGGCAACGGCGGGGGGAGAAACACACCCGTTGTATCCGAGCAACAGCCCGCCGGGCTCGCGGCTGCGAAGGCAGCAGGCTCAGAGCCGACCCACCTGGCGAGGTTTCCACCCCGAGCCGGGAGTTACCTTTGGAGAAGGGCGTCCTCTGGGCCTGCAGCCGGATCTTCACCACGTCCAGGGGGGTGACTGAAACAGAAGGCACCTGCTGAGACTTGGGGGTGCAGAGAGGTGCCAACCCACCTCACGGCCTCCCCCTGACAGGGACCATTGGGCAGCGGGTTTAATATTGACTGGGAAACAGCGGCACGAAGACGGGAAGGAGCACGGCCAAGCTCATGGTGCTGAGAGGGGAACCCAAGAGTCCTTGCTCTTCTCCGACCACCAGACCCACCCACCTTCCCGCCTCCCTCCTGAGCCCATGAGGCAAAGCAAACAGGTCTCCAAGGCATTTTAAGCCTCTTAATGACCAGGCCAGATTTGCTGGGAGCAACGGTCGTCGGGGGATGAGATGGGATTCCAGGGGGAAAGATTGGAGAGAGGCTGGAGCCCCATTCCAGAACAGCGAGCTAGCTTGACCCACGCACACCTGGAACCCCGGCCCCCCCCCCTCCCAGCCTCTCTCCCCAGCCCCCCCTCCTCCCTCAGCCAGCCCCATGCCGACCCCTTACCGAAGAGGGATGTGAAGAGGGCCCCGGTTCCAGATGCCAGCATCTGCTGCAGGGGGGTGATGCCCCCCGTGGGGCTCACTGACACGTTCTCAGACATCATGCTGCCCCCCTGCAACACACAAACGGGGCAGCAGGGCTGTTACCGGCAATGCAGTCTCCACGGTGCATCCCAGAGCTACTGGCTCGCTGCGCACGCTGGGCATTTCAGGGATTGCTGGTTACCCCCTGCCCACAAGAGGCAGGTTTTACCTCAAGGGGCACGAGCCACCTGGCTCTGCCTGTTCCCTGGCCGGAGAGGTCCCACCATCCCTGGACTCAAACCCACAGAGCCCTCTTGCCACCGTGCAGCTGCCTCGGCATGTTGGCTGCATGCCCGCCCTTCTCCCGCTGCGCTATCCATGCACGGCAGAAGAGGCGGGGCGCCTTCCCGCGGGTGCTGCTTATACAATCACCCGCCCCACGAGGAGAGACAGCACCAGGTGCAGCGGCGATAAAATCCTGCCAGCCCCGCAGCTGGAGCCAGGCCTGCCTGATCCGGCTAGAAAGCCAGCACTAGGAGCGACGGCGGAAGAGACCCAGCATGGGCTGGGAGGGGAGCCGGGTGCAGAGCCAGGTGCACCGAGCTCTCCCATTCCCCTAGCCCTGTGAGGAGGAGACTCCCCACCTCAGCCCAGAGGAGGGGCTGGGTGCAGAGTCAAGCCAGGAAGTTAAGGGGAGCAAGGGGGGAGGGGGAAAACAAGGCCCAGAGCTCCTGCAGAGCAAGGAGGATACAGCCACCTAATGCCGACAGCTGATTCCCTCCAGCCAGAAGAGCTGGGGAGAGGGGGCAGGAGCCTTCCCTCAGACCTGGGGACTCGTTCAACCTCGCACAGGATGGCAGGAATCGCACCAGGTAGTGCTTTGGATACTGGTACCCACGGGGCTTCCAGAGGACACATCAAGCCACCCAGCTACTTGCCTGCATTTACAACAGGCTACATAAAAAGCACTAGCCAAGTCAGTACAAACTCAGATTTCATTTCCGTGGCCCCACTGAAATAGACCCACACCCTGTTTATAGGCAACAAGCAGCCCTGGAGCACCTTAGAGACTAACAAAAAATATATACGTGGCATCACGCGCTTCCGTGGGCAAAGCCCACTTCTTCAGACGGGTTGGAGTCCCATAGTGGTTTTGCCCACCAAAGCTCATGATACTATATATTTTTTGTTAAGTCTCTAAAGCAGGGTGGGGAACCTTTGGCCCGGGGTCCACATGCAGCCCCCAGCTTGCCTGGCCCCTGAGGCTCAGGGCTCCCCCCAGCATTGGGAAGCCTGCATTGGCACTCCAGCCCCCCCCCCCCACCACCTCTTGGGCCCCCCAGGCAGTGGTGTGTGAGGGGAATGTGGGGAGGGTCTTTCCGCTTCTCAGTCAGGAGGCCACATCAGTGAAGGTTTGATTTTTCTGTTTGGCTTCTCACTTGTGTGCAGCCCCAACTGATTTCTCTGTGGGTCAGCGACCCCTGACCCAAAAAAAGGTTCCCCCACCCCTGCTCTCAGGTGCCCCCGGACTACTTGTCGTTTTTAAAGTTACAGACTAAACCAGCTCCCCCTCTGAGAATATTTATATGCCAATTGATTAATTGTCTAATTATAGTGTGAAAATTAGTCTGCAATTTTTCAGTACAGGCATCCTGACGTGCTTTGTATTTTACGTCTGGTGGTGTAAGCAAGCAAGTCGGTTAAGTGAGGCGAAAGTTGGGATAGGCAAGCAAGACAAATCAGACTCCTGAAAGGGGCCCAGTAGTCTGGAAAGGCTGAGAACCACTGCTTCATGGCCATTAATTAACGCTCCCATTGACCCTACCCCTGGCTAGACAGTAGCCTGCTGCTTCTATGGATGGAGAGCAAGCAGACAGGAAGCTGGCATCAGAGCCAGGAAAGGCCGTCCCAACTCACAGCCCTGCACTCAGACTACATTTCTCTCTCACCACAGTTTAGTATCGAACCCTGTTTAGTCACCATGAGCTCCAACAACTAGCTCCGAAACAACAACGTGGAGTCAGCCAGGACTTTCAGATTCCAAACGTCCGCTACCCTCGAAGGGAAATTTTCAGAATGGAGAGGGGTACCTAGTGGTGTTCCCCATGGGTCAGTTCTAGGACCAATTCTATTCAACTTATTCATAAATGATCTGGAGAGAGGGGTAAACAGTGAGGTGGCAAAGTTTGCAGACAATACTAAACTACTCAAGGTAATTAAGACCAAAGCAGACTGTGAAGAACTTCAAAAAGATCTCACAAAACTGAGTGATTGGGCAACAAAATGGCAAATGAAATTTAATGTGGATAAATGTAAAGTAATGCACATTGGAAAAAATTACTCCAACTATACGTACAATATGATGGGGGCTAATTTAGCTACAACTAATCTGGAAAGAGATCTTGGGAGTCATCGCGGATAGTTCTCTAAAGATGTCCACGCAGTGTGCAGCGGCAGTCAAAAAAGCAAATAGGATGTTAGGAATCATTAAAAAAGGGATAGAGGATAAGACGGAGAATATCTTATTGCCCTTATATAAATCCATGGTACGCCCACATCTTGAATACTGCATACAGATGTGGTCTCCTCATCTTAAAAAAGATATACTGGCCTTAGAAAAGGTCCAGAGAAGGGCAACTAAAATGATTAGGAGTTTGGAGTGGGTCCTATACGAGGAGAGATAAAAGAGACTGGGACTTTTCAGCTTGGAAAAAGAGGAGACTAAGGGGGGATATGATAGAGGTATATAATATCATGAGTGGTGTGGAGAAAGTGAATAAGGAAAAGCTATTTACTTATTCCTATAATATAAGAACTAGAGACCACCAATGAAACCTAATGGGCAGCAAGTTTAAAACAAATAAAAAGAAGTTCTTCACGCAGTGCATAGCCAATCTGTGGAACTCCTTGCCTGAGGAGGTTGTGAAGGCTAGGACTATAACAGGGTTTAAAAGAGAACTAGATAAATTCATGAAGGTTAAGTCCATTAATGGCTATTAGCCAGGATGGGTAAGGAATGGTGTCCCCAGCCTCTTTGTGTCAGAGGGTGGAGATGGCTGGCAGGAGAGAGTTTGCTTCATCAGTACCTGTTTGATTCACCCCCTCTGGGACACCTGGCATCGGCCATTGTCGGCAGACAGGGTACTGGACTGGATGGACCTTTGGTCTGACCCAGTCTGGCTGTTCTTATGAAAAATACCCTAGTGAAAAATACCCTATAGCCTGGACTTACATTCTCATTTTATTTTGTGCAGCCTCCCCACCTTTTCCTAGGGCCATTTAGTGCCAGGTGCTTTCCTTTCCCAAGTACAGATGTGAATAATTGTGTATTTGTGTTAACGTGCAAGTGCTGACATTTTTAGTGGTCACGTTTACACACAGGAGAACAGGCAGGAGCCAGTGCTTGCTTGGACCCTATCAGAGGCAGCAACGTGGGGGGGTGGCCGGCTCTATGGGAGCCTGCATGCGTGGGGAGCTGGCTCCCCATGGGCACGGGCTCCCATCTCCCCTCCCTTGCAGCAAGGGGGAGGTGCGTGTAAGCCTGGGCTTATCGATTAATCATGTAAAGAATTACTCACTGACATCCTTATTCCCAAAAGCTTCAGAGGGGGAGCCGAGTTGGTCTGAAACTGGAAAAGCTTAAAAAACAACGAATAGTCTAGCAGCACGTTAGAGATTAACAAAACGTGTTGATGGTGTAATGAGCTTTCATGGGTGCAACCCACTTCTTCAGATGAATGGAGGTATTAAAGGTCCAGTTCCAAAATAAATAGGGGATGGCGG